TATAATAAGCGTGAGGGGACTAACAAAGTCAGTATTGATCATGCTGTCTGGGACAGAAATTGTTCGGTCTATATCAGTACCCTTAATTCCTTTAAGTCCTCAATCTTGCATATAAAATAACAACCAAGGTACGGCTCGTGTGCAGGACAAACAGTCAATAGTAGTAGTATTAATAGGTCACTGTTCTCTTGTGAAAGGTCACTTAGTATTTATTACCAGAATTGTAGGAGCTTAGGAGGAAAAAGTGCAGATTTCTACATTAACTACGGATCTATTACACCACAGTACGATGTTTTAATATTAACCGAAACTTGGTTAAACAATACGTTCCTTGACTCCGAAATTTTTAATTTAGATTTATATAATGTATATCGCAAAGATCGAGACCACAATTTCATGAATACTAGCAAAGGTGGGGGAGTTTTACTCGCTACCAACAAACGAATAACTCTATCAACGATTGATATATATTCAGACTGTCCCTCATTCTCTAAAATTAAACATATTGATATTCTAGTGTGCAGAGCAAAAATTTTTCATCTGATATCTTATATAATTGTTATCTATATTCCACCTCGTTCATCGGTTGCAGATTATGAAATTTTATTTGATTCCATTGAATCATTGCAATGTTTACACGATGCGCCTATATTGATGATAGGGGATTTCAACATTGCAGAATACACCTTAAGTCAAACTTCCACTAGATTGCAATCGTTAAATAATCTTTGTAATTTTTTCGAGCTTACTCAATACAATAGCATTACTAACTGTGATGGGCGTCTGTTAGATTTAATTTTTTCAACTTATCCATGCTCGGCCCAAAAGGCAGTTGATGTTTTGGTATATCCAGAAGATAGATATCACCCCACGTTAGCAATCGATGTGAATTATAAAATAGGTACTAATAACACTCCAGTATTTAATGCATCCGCATACAACTATAAAAAAGGAAACTTTGTTGCCCTCTATAGAGACCTCCTATTGGTCGATTGGACATTTCTACATGGCCTTTCAAATGTTAACACAGCTCTGGGCTTGTTTTATGATAAATTATATAATATTCTTGATCAACACGTCCCAAAGAAGAAACCTTGTTATAAAACATACCCTATCTGGTTTACTGGTCCTTTAATTCACAAGTTAAATTTAAAAAATAAAGCTTGGAAGAAATACAAGAAAACGAACGGTGACGCTGATCTTAATGAATATAGACGCTTGAGGTTTGCTTTTAAGGCTGAAAATATGACTGCCCATAAAAACTATCTGGCTCATGTCGAAGCTGAACTCAAATCAAATCCAAAAAATTTTTGGTCATTCTACAATTCCAAAAAGAAACACAATTCACTACCAACCAACATGTGTTATAATGGCAACGACTTAGAAACCAGCGCCGCTATTGCATCTGCTTTTGCCGAATACTTTATTGACTCATTCTTAGACAACCCTATAAATGTAAACCAGCCCTCCGTTGAAGTTATTTCACCTAACCATGAATTTATAATGCCCAAGATCTCCGAGGACGACGTAATTGAGTCAATTAAGCGTATCAAGACAAACATGACTATGGGTCCAGACAATGTTCCTGCTTTTCTTGTACGTGATGCATTGTTCGTTTTTGCTAAGCCCCTTAGTATAATTTTTAATCTAATAATAAACTCGTCTGTTTTTCCCGAGAAATGGAAAATTTCAAAAACTGTTCCAGTGTACAAAAAGGGCAACAGAATTATCTGCAATTTTAGTAAAGTATTCGAAATTACAGTTATCAAATTTCTCTATAGGCATATTGAAAATTCAATTTTACCTGAACAACATGGATTTGTTCGTGGGAGGTCTACTGTTACCAATCTAGCCATTAAAACTCAATTTATCAGCGAAATATTGGATCGCGGTGGATAGGTAGATGTGATCTACACTGACTTTACGAAAGCAGTCGATCGCCTTAGTCATCCCATTTTGTTATCAAAGTTAAATATGTTGAATTTATCTGATAATGTACTATCTCTCCTTAGCTCCTACTTAAGTAACCGTTCTCAGTATGTCCTTATTAGTGGCGTTAAGTCTCGCTTGATATCTCAAGTTTCTGGTGTACCCCAAGGTTCCATTTTAGGGCCTTTATGCTTTATAATCTTTATTAATGATATTTGTAAGAATATTAATGTACAATATTTACTCTACGCTGATGACTTGAAGCTTATTTCAATGATTAATAACAACAATGACTGTATCGTAATGCAAACCGATATAAACAAAATTCAAAACTGGTGTATAAATAATAAGCTCATGTTAAATCCTGCAAAATGCAACGTAATGTCATATACGCGAAAGAGTGACTGCATAAGATACGATTACAATATAGGAGGTGTCGTCCTCCAGCGACCTGACACGATTAAGGACCTCGGTGTTGTCTTCGATTCAAAACTTACATTTGTTAATCATTTGGCCATAACTGTCGCATCTTGTTATAAAGTTCTAGGTTCCATTCTACGATCTATCAAAGATTTTAATAATCTAGATACGTGCAAATTGTTATTCTGTGCCCTTGTTAGAGCCAAGCTTGAATATGCCTCAATAATATGGTCCCCTAATTATAATGTGCACGTTTGAACTTTAGAAAAGGTTCAGCGACGTTTCCTTAAGAGTCTTCATTATTATTTTCATGGAACTTACCCTGAGAGGGGATACCCACAAGACCAGCTTTTAACAATGTTTGGAATGCAGAGCTTATTTCAACGAAGAATTATATCTTCAATTATTTTCATTTTTAAAATAGTACACCATTTAATTAAATGCCACCCAGCTACATTCAAGATAGCCTTTTAAGAATGATGAAGAAATGAATGAAGATGAACAAATGATAGAATTAGATTTAAATACTAATGAACCTGGATTTTTTTAGAGCCCGTGTTTTTTCTAGGTTTTCAAATGCAAAATCTCACCGAGTTTGGATACACTTTAACCAAGAATTTGCTCCACGAAATGATAATGAGAATGTTGAGCAAGCTAAACCTATTATTGGTTATTATTGCACTTGTAAGGTTGAAACGAGAACTCTAGGAACATGTGCACATGTTGCATGCATACTTTGGTACTTAGGGTATGCCAGACACAATCAATACGTTAACTACCCTTTTTTGCAACTTCTGAGAAATGTCTTATCCTCAGATCTTGATTTAAATAACATTGAAATCATAGATTCATAAATATTAAATCTTTCTGTTTTTTCTTTCACGCACACGCACACGCACACGCGCACACGCGCACACGCGCACACGCGCACACGCGCACACGCGCACACGCGCACACGCGCACACGCGCACACGCACACGCACAAGCACACGCACAAAGAGGTCAGATCCCGTTACGTCCACGTCGTTGATCCTGGGTAAAGCAGAGCACGGGGGTATAAAAAGAGAAAGTAAGTTTTATTATTTTGTGAAGAGACATCACATGTGAATTCACCGTCCTCAAAAACATATGATAACATTCTTGATTATAAGATTTCTGTTTTCTTTAAAGCATTTGGCAGCTATTTGACAGCTGTCAGCTGTCAATATTATCGATTCGCGATCTCATTTGAGTTCAGCGTCCTCAATAACATATGATAACATCCTTTAATATGAGATTTCTTTTTTTTAAGCATTTGACAGCTATTTTACAGCTGTCATTATTATCGATTTGACATCTTATTTGAATTCAGCGTCCTCAAAAACATATGATAACATTCTTTAATATAAGATTTCTTTTGTTTTAAAGCATTTGACAGCTGTTTGACAACTGCCAATTGTCAATATTATCAATTTGACATCACATTTGAATTCAGCGTCCTCAAAAACATATAATACGATTCTTTAATATAATATTTCTCTTGTTTTAAAGTATTTGACAGCTGTTTGACAGCTGTTAATTGCAAATAATATGGATTTGACATCATATTTTAATTCGGCATCCTCAAAAACTTAAGGGCATACATTAAAATAATTAAAATATGATTTTCAAAAAGGTGACATGCGTTTTAGAGGGTTCTATACGATGGTGGAGTCACGGAGCTTCGGAGCTCCATAGGAGCCAGACCATGGACTTTGGAGCTTAGTGCCCATTGAGACTTTTGTTCAGGATGACAAAATGTATAACATATCAAAAATTCAGACAATTTGACCGAGAGTGCATTTCCTATCTTTTTGCACAACATTCAATCTGCTAGGCACAGAAATATATTCACATTTTATAAAATTATTTTAAATTTTATCTGGCTAAAATGTGTGACTCAAAAATTTAATTCTAACAAATGATGCATCTTACCTTCTTGACACTAGTTGATCTGATAAAAATTTGGAATCATTCTTTTTTTTAGAGGAATTTGTTGATCATGGCGAAGAAGGCAAAGACAACTACTACCCTCAACTTTAGCAGAAGTAGAATTCATTGAACAAGTGCATAGTCAACTATCTTTTCCTCTACCTTGTGTAACAGCACAAAAATAAGCTATTGTTAAAAATTTTATACCCTTTATTTTTGAAACCTCTGTCGGAAGTGGTGCAAATCGAAAAATATTTTACCTAAATCGAGAATATTTTAAAATGCATTCATGCAATTTTTCATAAAATATGACACAATTCTGTAAAAGAAAAATGTAGTTTTCGCAGTTTTATCGAGGTAATACACTTTACCCTTTTAAAAAGGAAATTTTGCGTAGAATTCAAATTTTTAAATTAAATATACAGGATGTCATTTAAATTTCAAAAATTACGTTCGTTTCCGGTCTAACTGGAAGTGAATGAATATGGCTATTATGTTTATTTAAAAAAGCGTGTTCGATTATGTATACCCAGAAATCGGGAATACACAAATTAATTTATTCTCTATAAAGTTGTAATGTACGCCTTACATGAGATACGCTGTATACATTGATGTATATTTATTTGAATTAAAGAAATATTATTATAATTATTTTTATTTAAAAAAAGTTCTTAATTTTCCAGTGATTCCAAATAATTTACCTGTTCCCATAACATCCAATTTACAATTTTGCTCCTATCATTTGCATCGTGACCAAAAAGGTTTAAAAAATGTTTCGATAGAAGAATTTTTTTTTCTTGAATTTTTCCGACTTCTATTATTTCCTGAAAAGTAATAAAACTCTATTAATATACGAGATGCTACAGAATTAAATGCCAAAATTATAATAGTCCCTTCACTCCATGGCCATGACTAAAGATCGTACTCCTTGGACAATTTTAGGTCGATAAAACGTAATAGTTTACGAGTTATTTGTAATATTAAATTAAATTAATCTGATAGTTTATATAATTGTTTTGTTATTGTTTATACTTTGTCGACTTAAGAGCAAACCGGACCTCTCGCGAAAACAAAACTGTATTAATGATTTTTTAATAAAACATTGTATTTATATGCGTGCCACTGGGAATACTTCGTGACAATATTGAGAGCATTAAATTTATGCAACGATAATGCAGCACTCTACAGAGAAAAAAGGTGGGAAAGCATCCTATTTAAAAACTACTAGATATGTATTAAAACAAAAGCAGCAAATTGTTATAGATTTAATACAGAAAGGCGCGTAAATGTTTTTTTTTTTAATTATTTTTAAAATTTTTCCAAATAAAGACTTTTCGAAGGTTTACAAAAAATTCAGTGTTTCTCCATACTAAGTTTTGATATTATTGGTATTTTCTGAAAATTTCACCAAAATCGGACACCAAATAAAGGCTCAGAATAAATTATAAATTTTCGAGGTGTCCGGTTTGCTCTTTATATAAAACAATAGCAAGCATATAGCAAGATTAGAATTACTAGTACGTATTGTTATGTTATATTAATGTTACAACTTTAATAGAATAAACATTATAAAAATAAGTAAACATTTTAAATATGAGAAAGAAAAAAGATTAAATAACGTATTCATAAATTCACCTATTAAAAATGAGAATATTGCAAAATGGTGTGTATTTTTTATTACGTTTTTTTTGTTTGTTTCTTTATAACTTAATAATTTTTCTAGTGTTTATTTCATGATTTTTTAGAAATTTAATATTGATTTAAAAAACATATCCTTTACTTTTACCATCTTGATATTATTTCTTAAATTAATAAAATGTTACACTTAAATATACTTACTTGTAACATGTCTTTGGTAAACTCACAATCGCAAGATGGAAAATACTCTAAAAGAAACAATAGACACTTTAAATAGATGCAAAATATAGGCATATAGGACAACGCATGATTAACTTTACCCACTTCAACAGTATTCGTGTTCAACAATATTCTTGTTAGATTAGGTATGTAAGGTATGTAAGTTGTGTAAGGATAGGTAAATTAAGAAAAGTAGCAAAGTCGACATAATCCTCATTTTGAGAAAGGAATACAAATATTTCAGGCTGTGATAGAACAATAAAAATTAAGGTCAGTTTGCTATATAACTATTGTACGAAACTTTAAAGTAAGGAAGATAAAGCTATTCAAAAGGAAAAATCAGTTTTTGGGTCTTAACTTCTAACTGAAGCAAACTATCCAATTCAAATTTCTTGGAGAACTTAAAAGTCGTTTTTGGAATTTTTATTTCTTTCAGGAAAAAAATAAACCAAAGTTGTTTTGATTTTTGATGTGTCAGGATCAGTCATTTATAATTTATAATTTTTTTTTATCGAATTTAAGTGTATTTTAGTGTTTTCCTTTTTATATTTTTTAACAATTATTGAGTAAATCTGTGTTTAGTGCTTTCCTTTGTCTATTTTATGAACATTGTTCAGTAAACATGTTTTTAATCGAAGACTTTTTGTGGTATGTGCTGAGCTATTTACATTATTTTTATTTATTTTATTAAAGCAAAATAATTTTTTAGTGAACTGATGGAATCTAAAAGAAAGAGATGTGTTTATCGCCCATGTCTACCTCGAACGGATTCGAATACTAGTTATTTTTCATTTTCCAAAGTTTCAGAAAGGTATGCAAAATAAATTATGCAATTTAAATGACCATGGAGCAGATCCCATCGAGAACGGCTTCGAGTAAAACGAGGTACTTTTCAAATGCAGCAATGTTAACTGTATGTTATTTATTTGGCTATTTAATCAAAACAATTATTTTATTATCATTTTTAAATCAAATTATATTTATGTACCTATGACAATGTATTTTGTATTTTTTTTGGTTTCCCATGTTGTTAAGAGCCTGTAGTCGAGAAGACTTGATTAATATAACCAGTGAATAATTACACAAAAGCTACCAGTTGTGTAAAAAACATTTCCAGTCCAGTAGTTTTTCATTTGGATCAACTCGGAAATGTTCATTTGAAAATGTACTTTTGACAATATTCTGACACACACCCACAACAAATGAAATAATTGGATCATTCTGAATGAATCTGTACCCTACTAAATCCCACGACGATTTTCTCAGTACACCAGGTATTAAAAATAATATAAAAGTGTTGTTTTTATGTATTTTTTTAATTTAATTTAAATAGACTAATAATCAATCAATTTGAGGATTCGATTATGAACAATATACCTAGAAGTAGAAATATAGATACTGCGTTCCAAGTATATGATACAAAATTAAAAACTGATATAAATATATACCAAATGCAAAGTGTCTATTGAAATTATCGACTGTCGGTATATAATTTTTTCAGAAAAATAAAATGCCGTCTCTGGAATAAATATTTTAATTAGTGCATTTCCAATTCTTTCGAAATAAAGGTTTCTTATTTTATATCAATTGTGCATGACATACCTACCTTCTTATAGATACCTATAAATAGGTAGGAAATAATTGACTTAATTGGTTATAGTGCAAACATATCTCTACTGATTGGGTTACTTCCCAAGTGACTTCTCGATTAGTAAACGAATACGAACGTCAACATTTTATTAATTTAGTTATAAAAAATATTTTAAAATTAAAATTACAAAGTAAATGTAGAAATAACCTAAACATAGACCGACTTATAAAATTAAAATGTGACTTACATATTGCTGATTTAACTCAGATTTTCTCATTGTTTCCAAATTCCTGCTCGTCGTCTTACTTCTCCTCGTTATCACTAATTACATCATCGTCGTCGTCATCCTCATTGAGATTTATGATAAATCGTTCTCCATTATTTACGTGTATGCCGCTGTTGTTTCTGTATTCCTCTTCTATTTCACACACATGTTTTATAACTGCTTCCCCCTGCGATTTTCCGATCGCATCCATTTGTTCTTTGATCAAGTTGACGACCTGAGAATCAAATTTGGGAAATATATTTTTTCTCCGAATATTTTGTTTCAATTGGCCCCAGAGTAACTCTATAGGATTGAAAATACAAAAATATGGTGGTAACCTTAAAACTGTATGACCTTTTTTTAGTTTTTAGGACTTCCAAAAGTTCATCTTTTTTATATTTTTCATCAAAATACAAAAAAGTGATTCATTAAAAATTCTTGAATTTCATCTTCCTTAGAGTTTTTATTAGGTATTTTTTCCTTAAGCCTGGAGTGATATGAAAATTCAGATAGACTAAAGAGAAGGTGCTATGACGATGCTAAATTGTCCGCACTTTTGTATTACATTTTTACGTCAATGTCAAATTCGAGATAATGTAGCTGGTTGGTTTTGGTGAGAATAAATGCCATTTTTCTTTAAATAGTTTCATATAAAGATATAAAATTATTTTCATTTAGTCAGTCTCTAAATATAAAATTATTGACTTCAAATAAATCAAAGTACGACTCAAGTCGCCATTTTGATTACACTTTTTGTGTCACTTAAAGTGAGTCCATTTTGTCATATCGCAAAATAGTGTTTATGTCGTCTCTACTTTATACTATCTCGATGGATATGAAGCATTGTCCATAACTATTACAATTTTTGGCTTTAACTTAGGCATCAGTGAATTCGTAAACCATTCTTCAAAAATATCGGAATTCATATTTGAATGGTAATCAATATGGCAGCTATCAATTTTTTTTCCAATTAATAGTAAGGCATTGTCAATCCAACCGTCCTCTGAGCCACAGTTTAATATTATCAGTCGAGTGCCTTTATTTGGAGGGATACCTAAGGCTTGGCAATATTTATTATCGTTTATCCAGCCCTTTTTTGCAGTATCATGCGTATCATACCACGTTTCATCCAGAAAATAAATTGGCCTGCTTTCATTTTTATATTCACGAATTTTCTGTAAATAAGAATTTCTCCAGTTTACTATTCGTCTTGTTTCCATCACTGCGCTTCTTTTATCTATCGTTTTGTATTTAAAACCGATTTTTTTTAGCCAATTATACAATGTAAACTTTTTTATAGAAGATGAGTTAAAGTCTATACAAGATGAAAAAACTAAACATTAAGATGAGGCAGATTTGATATATACTAAAAAACGAGAGGACAAACAACGTGCTAAGGAGGACATCATTAAATGTTACGCATTTGACCTCCAACAGTGGCTGCCTACTTAAATACGTCTTTGGCATTATATAAACGCCAACTGTGGACGTTCAACCTAACTTTCCATGGAACGAGAACAGGGGATGTAACTTGCTTCATGTGGCATGAGGCCCAAGGTGGAAGAGGAGCCAACCAAATTGCCATATGTATTTTTAACAACTGTCAAGTTTGCCACAACAAATCAAAAAAGTCATTTTATATTCAGATTCATATGGGGGCCAAAACAGAAATTCACATGTCTCAGCAATGTTTTTAACGCTTTGGCAGCAATGTCCTCAACTGGAACAAATAGACCACAAGTTTATGGTCAGTGGTCATAGCCACCTTGAATGTGATGTTGATCATGGGATGATAGAGAAACAAAAAAAAAACATCTACAGATGCAAATTTCAGTTCTTCACGATTGGTACTAGCTAGTACGAGCTACTGGAAAAAACAAAAAGTTTCAAGTGGTGGAAATAAACCACAAAGATTTCGTAAACTATTCCGACCTATATAAAAGCCATCTTAAACTAAAACAAAAAGATAGCAATGGTAATTCTTTCAAGTGGACAGAGCTGCAGTGGCTAAGGTACCGTCAAGGATTTCCAAAAAATATTTTTTTCCAGTCTTCACTAGACGAAAGTGAAGAATTTCGATTTATGAATTTGGAAGGAAGGATATCACAAGATACACCCTTAAATTCGCTACCTTGATATACATCTTCATTAGTAATTTCTAATGAAAAAAAGAAAGATATCTTGGCTCTTCTGGATTTATCAAGTCCAGACTTTCACGATTTTTATAAAAATCTGAAAACTACTAACAATGTCAAAAGCACATTGCCCGACCTAGTGGGAGAAGAAGATGAAGAGCTAGAACAAAATTTTGTTTTCGAATTTCAGCTTAAAGTAGCTATCTCCTATAATTTTTGTTCATATTTTTAATAAAAAATAATTCAAACCTGTTTATTTTTATATAAAAAAATGTAGTTAATAAGTAAATGAAAATCAAACGAGATTAAGAGTATAAGTCAAAGGTGGTAGAAAATCCTAACAGTATAAGTCACCGATTTTCATAATATTTTAATTTTTTTTTGTTTAATAACTTTCAATAAAATAAAACATATTTGTCTTGCGGAAAACGTATATTAAATTACCTATCAATTTTATGCATACAAGGGAAAGATATTCAGAAAACTTTGGAGGCGTTTTCCAGAAAATCATTATATTTGACTTAATACTCCTTGTACTTATCATTATAGATATATAGATAGTTACAATCAAAGCAGTAAAAAAGCAGCAATCGCTGAGAAAATTCTTTTTTTGTTTCTCAAAAATGTTTTTCCGGATAAAACGTCGATTTTTTAAAAAATAATATTTTATATTGCCAACTCTGGCGCCCCATATTAGTCATGTTATACAAATCATTTTAGAAGGTAAAAATATGCCTTTTCAAAATAAAAAATTTCTAAAATCTATTTCTTAAGACGACCCAATTATAGACCTCAAAAATACAAGCAGACATTTTATATTGCTGGCTTTGACACAGGGCATTAAGAAATTCAAAAATGTCTTTTGAAACCAGAAATTTCCAAAATATACTTTTGTAAGGCGGCCTTAAAAATACAAATACCTTAAAGAATTTCCATTTGTTGCAAATTTTTTATCAACCCCGCTTAAAATTGCTTACTTTTTGAGATACCTAAGTTACTAATTAAAAAAATCTGAAATTAAAAAATCTCAAATTAAAAAATTTCAAATTAAAAACCTTGATTTCATACTTCAAGTATTACATAAAATTTAACATTTTAAATTAAATAGAAACTAAGAAATACCATGAATCTAAGGATTATTATTTCTAAGAAAGGTATTGGTTAAAACTTTGTTAGGCAGTGATAAAGTTTAATTTTCTTTTTCCAAAACCGAACATATTATTTTGCGAGCAAAATAACTCGGGTAGGTACCAAGATGCATAAAGCAGTTAAATACTCATAAATGCTCTCCGCACCTGAACATTACGAGATTCGATTTAGGACATACGTCCTTAAATTTACTTCTTATTAATAGATGCAATTTCCGGTGACATTTGAGTACGGGTTGTCCTGGATTATTTTACGCGTTTTATACTTATACTCGAACAAAATATTGAAAAAGGTGATTCCTCCCTGTTCACGTACAACAATCATACTATATCAGAGCATAATGAATGGAATCCCGCGCTAAAAACTGCAGAAGTTATCGGTATCACGTGCCAACTAGTCATAAATGCATGTTTATTGCGAAAATGTATTACGCCAGTGGCGTATAAAAACTATTGGCAAATTAAATGCGGTAATAGTAAATAATATTATATGAAAGTGGGTTGGTTATCTATTTTTGTAGTAAAAATCATTTATGTTTATAATTTTGTTTTGTTTATTGTTAAAATATGTAAATATTATGCCAGTGGCGTAGAAACACTATTGGAAAATTAAATGGGGTATTATACTAGAACAAAATATTGAAGAAGGTGCGCCGTAAAACTGCAAAAGGTATCGTTATCATATCAAAATGCACTCTGCCAGTGTCGCAGAAATACTATATTGGAAAATTAAATGGGTATTTGTGAATATTACTAGATGAAAGTAGGTTGGTTATCTATTTTTGTTATAATAATTCATCTGTTTATAACTGCATTTTGTTTATTATAAAAATATTTAAATTAAGCTTGGTATCACTTACTTAAATTCTAATGAAGTTTCGTAATTCATTGATTCTGCAGAACTATCACTGGAATCGTCTTTATCGTCGGAACTTAAAGTTATGACTAAAGGTTCAACTACCGTTTCGATCATACCGTCCAAGCGCCACATATTATTTTCTTCCTTAATTATATGGGAAATAGCATTCTGCCAATCTTCAGGTTTTATACGTTCTATACCGGTTTTTAATAAACTTTGAACGTCGGCTATTTTAAAAGTTTTATTTTCTCGAGCTACAAACCCTTTCACTTGCGCCCAAACTAGGATTGAATTCACAGTGATAAGGAGGAAGTCTTAGTACCGTAATACCACGATCACGAGCCATTGTGTCGATAACATATTGAATATATTTATGGCGGTGTTCCTTTATTAGGTCCATTAATTCTACTTTAAGCATTTCCTCAGTAAATGTTATTGCTTTATCCCGCAGCTAGGTTTGCATATCCGCTTTCCTGCTGGACATTATCGTAATGCGTTCAACTCGTCGACTCTGATAAGAAGCGTTATCTAGTACAATAACTGAATTTCGTTCTACACGCTGTAATACTTCAGTAAACCATTTTTTAAAGCATTCCGCATTCATGTCCTCGTGGTAGTCTCCGGTTTTTTTTTAGCGCTATTTTCCAAAAGTCCTGTCACTTCCAATATGGCGCTGTCCTTTACCTGATGGTGCTTTCAAACCTGTAGTTAATCCCTCTATAAAAGCTTAGCGATAACCAGTTAGAGAAGTATCTTGCCATATCTTAGATACCGTGTGTCTAGCATTCACCCACGTTTCATCGAGATAGTATATCTTTTTTAGCGGCTCTAAACTCTTTAATATTTCGTAAATAACGCCGTCGCTAGGATACTATATCTGACCTCTCAATTAAAATTGATTTCCTACACCGTTTGACAAAACGAAATTTTAGGCCCCATAAAATTTTTCGTAAAGTTTCACGGCTCATTAATGGAATTTCTTCGTTTTCTCTTAATTTCGTAAGAATAACTTTAAGTATTGGGGCTTTGTTTTAAAAAAAAAAAAAAACAAAAAGAACGATTTGTTTTTAGTTATCGTCCAATTTCAACTATTTTTGACCACAGGTATGCATTTAAGGGGCTTCTAAGGAGCCTTTTTTGTCTTTTTGCGTACAATACGTTCAATTGTTGAAACAGATACTCCTGTTAAAAAAGAACTGCGGTTTACAGCTTCATTTGTAGGAAGTGTCTGCTTAAGCCCATCATACACTTTCCATATAATGTTCTTTTCATCCTTTGATAAGGGCTTTCGCCGACTTAATTGGGTTTCACTTGGACCTGCCTCTGAATCCATTACTATTGTAACAATATAATTCTACTATTAAATTGTTTTTATCAAATTTATAAAAACACCTCGAATATGTACTACCACTACCAAATTGTAAGGCACAAACATGAACACCTACTCGTATATCAGAAAAGAGCACTTATACAAAAAAGTAAAATAATTATCGTAAATAGTTAAAGCGATACAAATCTAACTTCGTCGAAAGTTAGTTTTCAACTGTCTTTGTGCCTGTGCTGACAATATTCAATCTATAACCCGTCTGTCGTTTATTTACTTAAAACCCATTAATTTGTCATCGCCTCCAAATATTGAGGTATCATCTTACAAAATTTTACTCTCTATTGCAGGGTTAAAAATGATTTCAACTGATTTAGCGGTTTTCACTTTTTACCTGATGGACGGACTTTTTTGTGTGTCTAACTAAATGAATGTAACGATCAATGAAATTGCCAAGAACGGAGATGACATATTTTTAAAAGCAATGTTTTTAAAACCATTAAACACAGATAACGAAGTCATTAGGGAATAAATATATTAATTTCTTGAAAACTATCAACAACGTATATTTAACGCATCATCTTTGTTTAAATAAAGATGTTGACAAACAAATTAAATAAAGTTTACTAACAAATACCTAATAAATAATAAATAATTAATTGGTATTTGATACGCCGCCTATGCTGACTCTGTTACTTTCCGTCGGAATTTTCATTCATAGACAACAGTGTTGATCATGCATTGACTCACCTTCTCCAATATTTTGTTCTAGTATAGACACCGCCTTTGCTATCAGCGCAGGGAGGTGAAAAAAATTCATAGAAGTTCGCTTGCATCTATGGAGCAATCTTAAACAAAATTGTGACAGTCCATAGCTTATTTAATAGTTAATATTGAAACAATGCATGGTAAACTTTTAATGTTACTAAAGATCTTATGAATAATATCTATTGTGCAGGTATATTTTAAAAGTCAAAATGGTGGAAGAATACCCAACCCACCTCCTTAAACAACCCCTATAAAAATTATTTTTTAATTTTTTTACCATAAAATCGATATTAAACATTAAAGTTCTCCAAGAAATTTGGAGTTGAGTTTGCTCCGGTTAGGAGTTAGGAACTAAAAACTGGTTTTTCCACCCTCCCTTATTTCATAAATTCGGATAATAGTTTATACAGCAAACTGACCTTAATTTTCATTGTTCTATCAGCTTCTAAAATATATGAATTTCTTTTTGACTTGCCTTTTATAACTTTTTATGTTACTTGGCCAATGTCATCAAAACTTACCGTCGCAGCGTGGCGACATCGGTGTTCCAATTACTTTGCTGATTAGTACGCTTTCACTAGATAGTGGATTAGGGCGAATCGGTGATACTCTTCTGGTGTGTATTCTTACGATATTATCCATAAAAGGGGCCCTGATAGGTTTTCGACATGCGACGTTAAAGGGTTTATAGTCAACGGCAGACTTCGTAAGAGATCCTTCTGAGCGCAGTTTTTGCCTATAACAAACCATATCTTCCAATTCGCTCCTCTGTCTGATTAAACGCCTTTCTGTGCATGCGTTTTCCATTAAAATGACGTTTTTCGGTTTGTTTTCTTTGTCAATTACAGATACTAAAAAAATGTTAAAAAATATACATTATACAGGATGAGCCAATTATTTCAGTGTACAGGGAAAATGTGGGAGGTCCCAAAACTATACTAGCAAGACCTTCAAGCCACCCACGTTTGACGGTCAGACAACATGGGAATCATATCGACTCCAATTTGAAGCTGCAGCTAGAGCCAATGGCTGGACCGAGAAAGAGTGGCGGCTTCATTGATAGTGTCACTGTGAGGTCAGGCAACAACCGTTTTACAATTACTTTCCCAAGAAGAACCCAGTTATTCATCTCTCGTCCAAGCTTTGGAGACAAGATATGACCAGCAGCATTTGCAACGGGTATTTCAAAGCCAGCTAAAGGTTCGTAGTCAGAAACATAATGAGAGTCTACAGGAATTCAAGGCTGACATAAAAAGATTGATTCATCTGGCCTATCCACAAGTGCCGAAAGATTTCCAAGAACAACTTGGAATACAAGCATTCATTGATGGACTACAAGATGTGGAAATGCAGCAAGTCCTTCGTCTACAACATCACAAGACGCTGATGGAGAAACTGATTGGATCCCAGGAATATGAAACGGTAAAACTCCTATCCAGATCTTCTTGCGCAAAAGTGAGGGAAATTATATCCCAGGAAAGTGACAAGGCCGATACTAATGCTATTCCCCAAATCTTAAATATCCTACGAAATATACAACGAAACAGCCAAAATGGAATCAGGAGATGCTTCAATTGCGGAAGAGTCGGACACCTTCAAAGAACCTGTAGAAGCATGGACCATTCTATATATCGAGAATCAGCGAATGAAACCGGAAAATCATTTAGAACAATCCTTCCAAGCCCATCACTAAGACCAACAAGAATTAATTATAGCAGCTATGCGTTTCGAAGAAGCGAATCACCTACACCGAGCCGGCTTTCTAACAATAACCAGAAAGTAGAGCATCGAAGAGGTCTTCATAGCAATGCAGACATTCTCTTCGGGCAACCCCGTTTAGAGGAACGCTGGTATGGTAAAAGGGTCGAAGAACGAGAAGAACCGGTTGATAAAGTTACTCTTCGGGCCACCACTATCAAGCCGGAGAGCCTTTCAAACGAATCGCCATTGATATCCTCGGACCACTTCCCTTAACAGAAAGAAGAAACAAATACTTGTTGGTTGTTATGGACTATTTTTCAAAGTGGCCCGAAGTAATACCTATTCCTAATCAGGAAGCAACGACAGTAGCAGAAGCATTTATGACGAACGTCATTGCGAGACACGGAGTCCCCCTGGAATTACATTCTGACGAAATTTTAAATCCGAATTATGGCAAGAATTAATTAAACTGTTAGACATCAGGAAAACACGCACTACGCCTCTACACCCACAGTCCGACGGAATGGTGGCAAGACACAAGAGAACGATATGCCAGTATCTTTCAATGTTCGACTCTGATATCCAAGAGGACTGGGACACTATAATTCCTCTATTTCTGCTAGCCTACAGAAGTTCTAAACATGAAACGACCAGTTATACCCCATCCATGATGATTACCGGAAGGGGGATGAAACTTCCCTATGATCTTTTTTTTTAAAGGCAGCTTCCTGGTGAAGAAGAGATGCGTACTAATCCCACGTACATACAGAACTTAAGAGAAAGATTAGAGAAGTTATACGAATTCGCTTATCAACTTTTAAAAGTTAATAGCGATAAAGCAAAAGCTAGAATCGACATGCATGCCACAGGAACACATTTTGAGAGAGGCGATCCAGTATGGCTGTACAATCCCAAGCGCCGAAAAGGACTTTGTCAGAAGCTGCAACAGAACTAGGAAGGCCCCTACACCGTCCTCAAGAAAATCAACGACCTGATCTACCGCATTCAGTTGTCAATGAGAAGTAAACCTAAGGTAGTTCACATTGTGAAGTTAGCGCCATACCATGGTTCAGATCCTCCCCGTTGGCTCCAACCAGATCCCAGTAATCAAGTTATTCGGGGCAAATAACTAGAGAGGAGGGATCAATGTTACGCAGCACCCTGCAGTAGACTGCGGTTATCATAGGAAACATACAGATAGAAAAAGGAGTGAAATGTTATTCATCGCTCTACAGTATGTTGCGGTCGTCTTAAGTAAAAGTAAAAGTAAAAGAAGATGGAATATTTCAGAAATGACATTACCTGTCAAGAATATTCAAGACGACACTTCGGAAAGGTTCGGGAAGGTCAAGCAAGCTATATAAGTCGACGACCTGACGTCAGAGTTTCAGTTTTATGATAGACGTTACATGTTAATGTTATCAGTTGTATCGTTATTGTTAAAGTTGAATTGAGTTATTGTAGAGTTGAATTGAAATAAATTGTGATACCAAAAGCCAGTGTAACAATATTATTTTGCGAGCAAAATAACTCGGGTAGGTACCATGATGCATAAAGCAGTAAAATACTCATAAATGCTCTCCGCACCTGAAGATTACGAGATTCGAAGAGTCAGCGGTCAATTATGTATTTAGGACATACGTCCTTAAATTTACTTAATAGATGCAATTTCCGGTAACATTCAAGTACGGGTTGTCGTGGATTATTTTGCGCGTTTTATAGTTAGACACCCCTTTGCTACGTGCGCGGGGAGGTGAAATTTTTTTATAGAAGTTCGCTTGTATGTATGGAGCGGTCTTAAACAAAATTATGACATTCCATAGCTTATTTGATAGTTAATATTGAAACAATGCATGTTAAACTTTTATTGTTATTAAAGATCTTATGAATAATATCTATTGTGCAAGTATATTTTAAAAGTCAAAATGGTGGAAGAATACCCAACCCACCTCCTTAAACAACCCCTATAAAAATTATTTTTTTATTTTTTTTACCATAATATCGATATAAAACTTTAAAGTTCTCCAAGAAATTTGGAGTTGAGTTTGCTCAGTTTGGGAGTTAGGAACCAAAAACTGTTTTTTCCACCCTCCCTTATTTCATAGTTTCGGATAATAGTTTATACAGCAAACTGACCTTAATTTTCATTGTTCTATCAGCTTCTAAAATATATGAATTTCTTTTTGACTTGCCTTTTATAACTTTTTATGTTACTTGGCCAATGTCATCAAAACTTACCGTCGCAGCGTGGCGACATCGGTGTTCCAATTACTTTGCTGATTAGTACGCTTTCACTAGATAGTGGATTAGGGCGAATCGGTGATACTCTTCTGGTGTGTATTCTTACGATATTATCCATAACAGGGGCTCTGATAGGTTTTCGACATGCGTCGTTAAAGGGTTTATAGTCAACGACAGACTTCGTGAGAGATCCTTCTGAGCGCAGTTTTTGCCTATAACAAACCATATCTTCCAATTCGCTCCTCTGTCTGATTAAACGCCTTTCTGTGCATGCGTTTTCCATTAAAATGACGTTTTTCGGTTTGTTTTCTTTGTCAATTACAGATACTAAAAAAATGTTAAAAAATATACATTATACAGGATGAGCCAATTATTTCAGTGTACAGAGAAAATGTGGGAGGTCACTCGGATTCAGATAGAACATTAAAAAATAAGATGACAAGTTCCCATAATTTTTTTTACTAGCGGCTTTCCCTGCGGAGATACGGTCTCCAAAAGGACGCCACTGGAAATTAATTTTTTTTGAATAACTTTCAAACTACGTAATATAATTTAATGAAAATTTAATATGATAAACAGTAGTAAGAATTTATTAAATTATTGCCCTTAAAACATAAATAGCTTGTTTAGTTTACCAGGGGTGGACTAGGTTGTACATTTTAATGCTTACAGTTTTAACACCCTGTACGATAAGGAGTTAAAAAAAAATAAATTTCGATACCTTGAACATTAAGCTTAAGAAAAGGTACTTTTCTTCATTGTCGATAAAATGAAACGTTTTCGAAAAAAAAAAAGAAATATTGTTTTATTTTTATTAAAAAGAAACCATGATTTCCAATTTTTTTTGTCTGCAGCAAATTGTGATCGAAAATCATTGAAATAGAACTGTTATCAGTATTAAAAAACGCACTGTTTTTACAAACGTCATTATGGTAGTACCTACGAAATAAATACATGAATAATTGTATTGACACGTTGATCTTTTAGTACTCCGGTATTAATTTATTGAATTTTCAATACCTTGGTAAATTTAATTCGATATTGGGATACACATTTAACAGAGGCGGCTCGTGGGTAGTGCCACTGTGCCATGGCACTACCTTATTTTTGACGCAAAAATATATTTTTTCTTTTTGAAACGTCTTATCATATTTTTATTTTATTTTATGCATTTCTTTTTATATTTAAAAATTATTTGAAATGTGGCAACCTCGCGCTGCATAAATCTCCAAGCTCGTGCCGCGTACCGGAGCCAGTTCTCAGCTGGCACTAGGGGAGAGAGATTTTATCAGCAGCCTATGTGAACAATAGAGATGGGGACATTTTACATGTATTTAAACGGTTAAATCAAGAAATATTTGTTTCGGGCACAGCGACGATAACTGTTCAGTTAATCGCAGTTTCTCGATAATGTCGATTGTTGTCTGAACCGAATTTCTTTACGCGATTTTAAGTTTTTCGTTACGTTACAAAGTATTAATAGTGACGTTAATGTGTGTCTTTTTGTTTTCGATGAACTTGTATAAATATCTTATTTCCTAGTTTTTAATTTATTGTGACAATAAATAAATTTGGCGTCTTAAAAAACTCTTCTAGTGGTTATTCGCTAGAAGAAAAACTATAATTTAAAGAATTAGGCCGGTCAATTCATAATTTAAAAATTGAAAAACAAAATGGAAGTGGGCAAAAATCGCGGTGTCGTAAATTTAATAAAACTATTTATGATAAAAATAATTGGTTGTGTGGTTGCGAAGAAAGTAATGAACTGTTTTGTTTTGTGTGTGTTTCGTTTGGAGGTGACGAGACTTGGTTAAAAAAAAGGCACCGACGATCTTGTCCATATATGGGATAAAATGAAATCCCATGAAAAATCTAAAGTGCACATGAATAATGTTTTTAGCTTTTCCATGCTTGGTAAGTTAAATATAAAAACCCAGGAAAATTCGGCTTATCGTGATGATCTAATCAAACATAATCAACATGTGGATAAAAATAGATATATTTTAAATCAAAATATAAATTGTATAAGGTTTTGTTTTTGTGAAGCCTTTGAGTTAGCTTTAAGGTGTCACGATGAAAGAGATAATTCGGAAAATAGAGGCATATTTAAGAAGCTGGTGAAATTTAGCGCCGAATTAGACAACGACTTAAAGGTTCATATTTAAAATTCAGAAAATTTCAAATTAAAAACTTTGATTTCAAACTTCAAATATTTCGTAAAATTTAACATTTAAAATTAAATAGAAACTAAGAAATACCATGAATCTAAGGATTATTATTTCTATTGGTATTGGTTAAAATTTTGTTAGGCAGTGAAAAAGTTTAATTTTCTCGTTCCAAAACCGAACATATTGTTACGCAACACCACTGCAGTAGCCTGCGGGTATCATAGGAAACGTACAGATAGAAAAAGAAGTGGAATGTTACTCATCGCTCTACAGTGTACTGCGGTTGTCATAAGTAAAAGTACAAATAAAAGAAGATAGAATATTTCAGAAATGTCCAGAAATGTCATTAACTGTTAAGAATATTCTAGACAACACTTTCAGAAGGTTCGGGAAGGTCAAGCGAGCTATATAAGTCGTGAACCTGACGTCATAGTTTCAGTTTTATGATAGACGTTACATTTTAATGTTATCAGTTGTATCGTTATTGTTAAAGTTAAATTGAGTAATTGTAATGTTGAATTGAAAAAAATTGTGATACCAAAAGCCAGTGTAACATTGGTGGCAGCGGTGGGATATAAAATAAAAGTTACTCAAGCATTCAATTTATGGTAAATGCAAGATTCACGGCGAACGAAGCAGATATGGATACTTCAGGTCCACCAGCATGGTTTTTGAAGATGGAAGAGGAAAAGGAAAGGCGTAGGAAGGAAGAAGAGGAGGAAAATAAAAGGCAAGAGGAGGAAAAGGAAAGGCGTAGGAAGAAGGAAAAGAAAAGGCGTAGGAAGGAAGAGGAGGAGGAAAAAGAAAGGCGTAGGAAAGCTGAGGTAGAAAGTATGAATGGTTTGCTACAAATCCAGGAAACTTTCAAGCAAGAGGTTAGTCAGCTTAAAATTAGAGTAGATCTGTTAGAGCAACAACAAGAGCATCTAAAAGCTAGTTTAGAGAAACAGCAAGAGAATTTAAAAGCTAACTTAGAACAACAAGAACAGGCTAGAGTAGAGCTGGAAAGGCAAATTAGAGCTAAAATGGCTGAGTTAGAAAAAATAATTTACAGCCAAGCTTCAGTAAACATCATTGAAGCTTCAAAGACTACTACCTCGAATTCATCCATAACCGAAACAAGCCACATTCGAATCCCAGTTTCACAAAACTATACTAGCAAGACCTTCAAGCCACCCACGTTTGCCGGTCAGACAACATGGGAATCATATCGACTCCAATTTGAAGCTGCAGCTAGAGCCAATGGCTGGACCGAGAAAGAGATGGCGGCTTCATTGATAGTGTCACTGCGAGGTCAGACAACAACTGTTTTACAATTACTTCCCCAAGAAGAACCCAGTTATTTATCTCTCGTCCAAGCTTTGGAGACAAAATATGGCCAGCAGCATTTGCAACGGGTATTTCAAAGCCAGCTAAAGGTTCGTAGTCATAAACATAATGGGAGTCTACAGGAATTCGAGGCTGATATAAGAAGGTTGATTCATCTGGCCTATCCACAGGTGCCGAAAGATTTCCAAGAACAACTCGGAACACAAGCATTCATTGATGGACTACAAAGTGTGGAAATGCAGCAAGTCCTTCGTCTACAACATCACAAGATGCTGAGGAAGAAACTGATTGCATCCGAGGAATATGAAACGGTAAAACTCCTATCCAGATCTTCTTGCGCAAAAGTGAGGGAAATTACATCCCAGGAAAGTGACAAGGCCGATACTAATGCTATTCCCCAAATGTTAAATATCCTACGAAATATACAACGAAACAGCCAAAATGGAAGCAGGAGATGCTTCAATTGCGGAAGAGTCGGACACCTTCAAAGAACCTGTAGAAGCATGGACCATTCTATAAATCGAGAATCAGCGAATGAAACCAGAAAATCATATAGATCAATCCTTCCAAGCCCATCACTAAGATCAACAAGAATTAATTATAGCAGCTCTGCATCTCAAAAAAGCCAATCACTCACACCGAGCCGGCTTTCTAACAATAACCAGAAAGTAGAGCATCGAGGAGGTCTCCATAGCAATGCAAACATTCTCTTCGGGCAACCCCGTTTAGAGGAACAATACTGGTATGGTAAAAGGGTCGAAGAACGAGAAGAACGGGTTGATAAAGTTACTCTTCGGGCCACCACTATCAAGCCGGAGAGCCTTTCAAACGAATCGTCATAAATATCCTCGGACCACTTCCCTTAACAGAAAGGATAAACAAATACTTGTTGGTTGTTATGGACTATTTTTCAAAGTGGCCTGAAGTAATGCCTATTCCTAATCAGGAAGCAACGACAGTAGCGGAAGCATTTATGACGAACGTCATTGCGAGACACGGAGTCCCCCTGGAATTACATTCTGACGAAATTTTAATTCCGAATTATGGCAAGAATTAATGAAACTGTTAGACATCAGGAAAATACACACTACGCCTCTACACCCACAGTCCGACGGAATGGTAGCAAGACACAACAAAACGATATGCTAGTATCTTTCAATGTTCGTCTCTGATATTCAAAAGGACTGGGACACTTTAATTCCTCTATTTGTGCTAGCCTACCGAAGTTCTAAACATGAAACGACCAGTTATACCCCATCCATGACGATTACCGGACGGGGGATGAAACTTTCCTATGATCTTCTTTTTGGAAGGCAGCTTCCTGGTGAAGAAGAGATGCGTACTAATCCCACGTACATACAGAACTTAAAAGAAAGATTAGAGAAGTTATACGAATTCGCTTATCAACTTTTAAAAGTTAATAGCGATAAAGCAAAAGCTAGAATCGACATGCATGCCACAGGGACACATTTTGAGAGAGGTGATCCAGTATGGCTGTACAATCCCAAGCGCCGAAAAGGACTTTGTCAGAAGCTGCAACGGAACTGGGAACGCCCCTTCACCGTCCTTAAGAAAATCAACGACCTGATCTACCGCATTCAGTTGTCAATGAGAAGTAAACCCAAGATAGTTCACATTGTGAAGTTAGCGCCATACCATGGTTCAGATCCTCCCCGTTGGCTCCAACCAGATCCCAGTAATCAAGTTATTCGGGGCAAATAACTAGAGAGGAAGGAGCAATGTTACGCAGCACCCTGCAGTAGACTGCGGTTATCATAGGAAACGTACAGATAGAAAAAGAAGTGAAATGTTATTCATCGCTCTACAGTGTGCTGCGGTCGTCTTAAGTAAAAATACAAGTAAAAGAAGATAGAATATTTCAGAAATGTCATTACCTGTCAAGAATATTCTAGACGACACTTCGAGAAGGTTCGGGAAGGTCAAGCAAGCTATATAAGTCGACGACCTGACGTCAGAGTTTCAGTTTTATGATAGACGTTACATGTTAATGTTATTTATCAGTTGTATCGTTATTGTTAAAGTTGAATTGAGTTATTGTAAAGTTGAATTGAAATAAATTGTGATACCAAAAGATAGTGTAACAATATTATTTTGCGAGCAAAATAACTCGGGTAGGTACCATGATGCATAAAGCAGTTAAATACTCATAAATGCTCTCCGCACCTGAAGATTACGAGATTCGAAGGGTCAGCGGTCAATTTTGTATTTAGGACATACGTCCTTAAATTTACTTAATAGATGCAATTTCCGGGTAACATTCAAGTATGGGTTATCCTAGATTATTTTACGCGTTTTATACTTAGACACCACCTTTGCTACCTGCGCGGGGAGGTGAAAAAAATTCATAGAAGTTCGCTTGCATCTATGGAGCGGTCTTAAACAAAATTATGACATTCCATAGCTTTTTTGATAGTTAATATTGAAATAATGCATGGTAAGCTTTTAATGTTACTAAAGATCATATGAATAATATCTATTGTGCAGGTATATTTTAAAAGTCAAAATGGTGGAAGAATATCCAACCCACCTCCTTAAACAACCTCTATAAAAATTATTTTTTATTTTTTTTACCATAATATCGATATAAAACTTTAAAGTTCTCCAAGAAATTTGGAGTTGAGTTTGCTCAGGTTGGGAGTTAGGAACCAAAAACTGGTTTTTCCACCCTCCCTTATTTCATAGTTTCGGATAATAGTTTATACAGCAAACTGACCTTAATTTTCATTGTTCTATCAGCTCCTAACATATATGAATTTCTTTTTGGACTCGCCTTTTATAACTGTTTATGTTACTTGGCCAATGTCATCAAAACTTACCGTCGCAGCGTGGCAACATCGGTGTTCCAATTACTTTGCTGATTAGAACACTTTCACTAGATAATGGATTAGGGCGAATCGGTGATACTCTTCTGGTGTGTATTCTTACGATATTATCCATAACAGGGGCCCTGATGGGTTTTCGACATGCGACTTTAAAGGGTTTATAGTCAACTACAGACTTCGTAAGAGATCCTTCTGAGCGCAGTCTTTGCCTATAACAAACCGTATCTTCCAATTCGCTCCTCTGTCGGATTAAACGCCTTTCTGTGCATGCGTTTTCCATTAAAATGACGTTTTTCGGTTTGTTTTCTTTGTCAATTACAGATACTAAAAAAAAATGTTAAAAAATATACATTATACAGGATGAGCCAATTATTTCAGTGTACAGGGAAAATGTGGGAGGTCACTCGGATTCAGATAGAACATTAAAAAATAAGATGACAAGTTCCCATAATTTTTTTTACTAGCGGCTTTCCCTGCGGAGATACGGTCTCCAAAAGGACGCCACTGGAAATTAATTTTTCTTGAATAACTTTCAAACTACGTAATATAATTTAATGAAAATTTAATATGATAAACAGTAGTAAGAATTTCTTAAAATATTGTCCTTAAAACATTAAGCTAAAGAAAAGGTGCTTCTTCTTCATTGTCGATAAAATTAACCGTTTTCGAGAAAAAAAAAATAAAAGCATTAATGTTTTATTTTTATTAAAATGAAACCATGATTTTCAATTGTTTTTGTCTGCAGCAAAGTGTGATACGAAAGTCATTGAAATAGAACTGTTATCACTATTAAAAAACGCACTGTTTTTACAAACGTTACTATTATAGTAGTACCTACGAAATAAATAAATGAATAATTGCATTGACGTGTGCAATTTAAATCTTGTTGACACGTTGATCTTTTAGTACTCCGGTATTAATTTATTGAATTTTGAATATCTTGGTAAATTTAATTCGATATTGGGATACACATTTAGCAGAGGCGGCTCGTGAGGTAGTGCCACTGTGCCATGGCACTACCTTTTTTTTGATGCAAAAATATATTTTTTCTTTTTAAAACGTCTTATCATATTTTTATTTTATTTTATGCATTTCTTTTTATATTTAGAAATTATTTGAAATGTGGCAACCTCGCGCGTACCGGAGCCAGTTCTTAGCTGGCACTAGGGGAGAGAGATTTTATCAGCAGCCTATCTGAACAATAGAGATGGGGACATTTTACATGTATTTAAACGGTAAAATCAAGAAATATTCGTGCCGGGCACAGCGACGATAGCTGTTCAGTTAATCGCGGTTTCTCGATAATGTCGATTGTTAACTGAATCGAATTTCTCTACACGATTTTAAGTTTTTCGTTACGTTACAAAGTATTATTAGTGAAGTTAATGTGTGTCTTTTTGTTTTCAATAAACTTGTATAAATATCTCATTTCCTAGTTTTTAATTTATGGTGGCAATAAATAAATTTGACGCCTTAAAAAACTCTTTTAGTGGTTTTTTACTAGAAGAAAAACTACAAATTAAAGAATTAGGCCGGCCAACTCACGATTAAAAATTGAAAAACAAAATGGAAGTGAGCAAAAATCGCGGTGTCGTAAATTTAATAAAACTCTTTATAATAAAAATAATTGGTTGTGTGGTTGCGAAGAAAGTAATGAACTGTTTTGTTTTGTGTGTGTTTTGTTTGGAGGTGACGAGACTTGGTTAAAAAAAAGGCACAGACAATCTTGTTCATATATGGGATAAAATGAAATCCCATGAAAAATCTAAAGTGCACATGAATAATGTTTTTAGCTTTTCCATGCTTGGTAAGTTAAATATAAAAACCCAGGAACATTAGGCTTATCGTGATGCTCTAATTAAACATAATCAACAAGTGGATAAGAATTGATATGTTTTAAATCAAAATATAAATTGTATAAGGTTTTGTGGAGCCTTTGAGTTAGCTTTAAGGTGTCACGATGAAAAAGATAATTCGGAAAATAGAGGCATATTTAAGAAGGTGTTGAATTTTAGCGCCGAATTAGACAACGACTTAAAGGTTCATATTCAAAGTTCAAAAGCTTTTAAAGATACCTCAAAAACAAACCAAAATGAACTTATTGAGTGCATGTTAGATGTTTATCACGAAAAAGTTAGGAAAGAAATAGAAAATTATCCTTCTGTTGCAGTGATTGCCGATGAAACGATGGACGTTGCTTGTGAATTTCAATTATAGTTTTCAGATTTGTGTAAAAGACGACCAGTTGAGAGATTTTGGAGAGGTTTTACATGCTCGATGGACACGACGCCAAATCAATCGCTAAATGCATTTTAAATGTTTTACATCCATTATTAAAATATAGTCCAAATAAATTAATTGCTCAAAGCTATGACGACGCGTCTGTAATGAGTGGTGGATTAAATGGTGTGCAAAAAATTATTAAACAAACATATCCTCTTTCAAATTACGTTCATTGCTATGCACACCAGATGAATTTAGTTATGACAAGTGCATGTTCTGTCAATAAGCAGGCTAGAAGATTTTTTTTTCTAATTTTACTGGTTTGTGCTCTTTTTTTTCCACGTCTCCTCAAAGAACAAAAATTTTGGATGAGGTAGTTAATCGCAGGTTGCCAAGATCTTCCCAAACAGGTTGGCATTTTCAATCGCGAGGTGTTCATCATAAGAATAGGAAAGACCTCATTACAGTTGTGGATATTATAGAAAGTACTTCACGCGATTCGTCGTCTATTAACAAACAAGTGGGTACAAATTAAAACTTCAGGATAAAAATGTTATATTATGGTTAAGTATTTTTCATCAAATAGTGCCTCACGTGGAAATTATTTTTAACCAATTACAGAAAGTATGCACAGATTCTGTTAACCCTTTCAGTCATCGCGTCCATTACAGTGGACATCGATTTTCTATAATTCCTATAAAATTGAAATCGACAATTTTTAGTTAAGTAGTTTTGTTCGTGTGCCAGGATATGCATAAGGAACGCATTTATAGCACGTGGCGACTTCAAGTAGTGGAAGGTTGGATTTCGCAGCGGTCTCTTGGCATTCGGTTTTCAGTGGTTGAACGCGCATGTAAACTCATCCTCGAAAAAACGTAAAATACGATATCTTTTGTGAAAAATAAGTTCTATTGATCACTGTTGGTAGGTAAAAACTATAATTAAGTTACTTTTTATAAATATTGGAATAATATAATTACTAAAATTTTGATATATAACTTTGATTTGTTATGTCCATTATAATGGACATAGTGACCAAAGTCATTTATGGTAAGTTCTTCATTATTTTTTCAGATACTTATGAAAAACGGAAAATTTACCTTCAACAAGTGGAACAAAGAAATAGAAGCTACCCTTAACAGCAGAAAAGCTTCTTGAAAGTCTTTTGAATGATGACGACTCCGTAATTTTGGGTTTATCGGATGACGCGGACAATTTTGAAGATATATGCAATATTAGCGACTTTTCTGACTTAAAAAATGATTTGGAGCTTATCGATGATGTGCAAGAGCAAGAAATTATAGAAGAAAATAGCCAGGAAGAGCCCGAAGAAAACGAAAATATCGAGCCGAGACAACCAGAAGGAAATAACGAACAGAGAAAACCCGAAGAAGCTGGAAATAACGATGCGGAAGAGAGGGCAAGAAACAAGAAACTTTTTATGAACTTCATGGTTTTACTGATAAGAAAAATATAAAATGGCAAAGCGATATTCAATATCAAACAAGGCCAGTCCCGTGGTTCATTCCTGAACCCGAGCGCATTGATGAATTATCCGCTCCAATAAAGTTTTTTAACAAATGTCGGAAAAGACCAAGTTGTATGCGAATCAGAAAAATATTGCCCGATTTATTCCAACATGCAAAGAAGACATGAAAAAATTTTTGGGAATTCACATTGTCATGGGAAATCTGAAATTCCCAAGGGCCAGGATGTACTGGAATCAAGCTACTAGCATTTCAATAATAAAAGAAAATATGACTTTCAATCGATTCTCTAAGTTGCGAAATGCAATATATTTAGTAGATATCACAGCGAGGGAAAATAATCCAGATCGCCTATGGAAAGTCAGGGATATATACAATGCAATTAGAAATCGTTGCTTGGAACTCAAACTTGAAACAAATGTTTGCGTTGATGAACAAATAATTACTTTTTTAAATGCCAAATAAACGTGAAACAATATCTTCCAAATAAGCCTAAGAAGTGGGGGATCAAGTTGTGGATATTAGCTAGTCAAAGTGGAATATGTTATGATTTTATCATATACTAAGGAGCAGGCACTGAAATAAAAGATAATAATAATAATAATAATAATAATAAAGCGTCTTTATTCATCAAGTTTTAGTATAAGTGTAAATATATAGAGCTATATAAGGTAGATGAAAAGGTGAAGTTCAGCTTGTGCTGATTTACAACTTAACCTGTAAATAACATTGAAATATAATAATATAATATAATAGAGAAAAAAAAAAGTATAAAAAATAAACAGATTTTCAAAACCAAATTCGTTGCATTATATAATATATTTTTTTATGACCATTGCTTATTGAACAAAGAATTTTTTAGGCGTTTCTTGAAATTAAGCAAGTTATATGATTTAAATTCATTTGTAAGTTTATTGTACTCTTTACATGCAACATACGAAAAACATCTTTTAAATAGAGCCGTGTTATGATTCGGTACCACCAAGGTCATTCGATTCCGCGTAGGAAATTCATTAATATTGGAAAATGTCTTTAATTTGTTAACTAAATAATCAGGTTTCTGTATGAGTAAAACTTTGTGAACTTGAGTTAATAAATGCAAAAGGCGATAGTTATTGAAAGTCAACCAACCTGATTCTTTCATTTTATTCGAGATATGATCAAATTTTCGAATTCCATAGGCGAAACGTAGACAGCTATTCTGGATTTTTTGTAAACGAGCGGAATCGGATTGGAGTAGGGCTGGACCGTAGATGGAATCACAATAACTGAGTTTGGAAAAAATGAGAGATTCACAAAGTTTAAGTTTGAGTTGTGTGGAAAGCAGGTCTCGGTTAGGGTACAACTGTCTCAAGACGTTGAACGAACTTTGAGATATGGTGGAGGTATGTTTACTAAAACGAAGATCAGAATCTAACCAGAGACCTAAGTTTTTTCCTTCATTCGTGAATTGAAGAAGAGCATCGCCTAATTTAATTTGTAATGCGTTTATTGTTAATTGTCTTAATTTTTTGGGGCCAAATAACATGATGGATGATTTTTTAGAATTTATTTTGAGGTTGTGAGCTGTAGAAATATCAAGTAATGCATTTAAATCGTCGTTAATAAGATTTT